GAAATGAAAAAATTTAAAATAAATAAAATTGGACAAGCAGATGGATCTTATAGAGATAGTCAGAATGATCTCCCAGCTTGGAAATAGACTGGAAAGCAGGTGAATGTAACCTGATACTATGTTGCAAAATTGCATACAAATTGAAAGCACCAGCTAAGTCTTATAAGCTGCTGGGGGCTAGGAATGTCTGATATAGTATCTAATATAGAACAATATATGTAGATAAAGAACAGCAGACTGATTCTAAGGCAGTGTAATGGATCATAGGCAGAAATTGTAGAGTAAAGAAGGCTCTGTATGGTGTTAACCAGTGACTGTCTTATTAATCAGCTTAACTAATCATTAAGAAACCTGAGAAACAAAAGGAAATAGGAATATATGGGGTAATCCAAAGCAGTAAACCCCAGGCTGAGAAACTAGAACAGTTGGGAAACCGACAATTGAATATGACATTACCCCTAGTATAATATCCTTTATGGTCAAGTGCTCAGAGCCAGTATAATAATATATAGATGATAGACAAGTATGCAGACCTAAATTGGTCCACTCATAAGTAAAGGAACAAGTAGTCCCATATAGGATACACCCTGAAGATACAGAGATTAGCCAATAGTATAGAAAAGATGCCCATACATTTTTGTAAATAACTGCTTTAGGGTAACCCCTCAAACTAGATATAGCCAGTGGGAAATAAGCTAAACACTGCTGCTTCAAGGCAGCCTATTATCTACCTAAAATAGCCGATACTAACGCATCTACCACTGCCTAAAAATAGAAACTGCCTATTTGCCCAGGGAGATCATTAAGATTTATAGTAATAGCAAGATGCTAAGGCATGCAAAAGCTGACCTGTGGAGCGTCTGCTCGACGCGCGTTTCGGTGCCGATAAGCGCCTTTGTCAAGAGCGGTCTATGTTGGGTTATGCCCTAATTACCCCACAACCATTATGGACTAAGTGTTAGATTCTCTTTCATCGTGTTTGTGGATTTATCATTTGGAACTAGAGCGGGCACTAGTCACAGGGGAGGGGACAATACAGGTTTGTCTGTTCTCAATGTTACCATACATTGAGTTTCAGCTTATTATGAAACCAGTACAGATAGATAGAACAAGGCTTACCAGCGAGGGGACACCTTGGAGTACGCGATCTGAGCGGACACATTCCCATTGTGATCGTGATTTCCTGCAGTTATGTACCATGGTACATTCTTGAGCGAATCAGCATTGAAAACAGACTCATATGTACTCTGCATTAAAAAAAAAAAAAAAAAATTTAAATCAAAAATAATTACAAATCTTACATGTCCTTGCTGGCAATGGGGAAAAAGTTATGAAGTTTAATCACATGCAGATCTTGTGTGGAAAAAAAAGATGTGCTTAATATTATCAAAACTTACAGTGCTCTGTAGTGGTTATGGTGCTACAGGTTGCCTGGTAAACCCACCCCCACGGTTCCACCCGGCACGGCTTTCTGTCTCCACTACAGCTCGGCATTGCAGGGTTTAGCTCATTGCCCATATAATGAGCTGGACCTGCACGGCAAGGCTTAGCTCAGGAGAGCTAACAAGTTCCTGAACAGGGGTTTCAAACTCTCAATGGGCTATAGAGGAGACAGAGTAGTGCCTTACGGATCCCATTTGACAAATCAAAGAATTCTAAAATGGTTTGACTCATTATGATTACAGTAGTGCTGTGAGCATCCGTTTAATCATGTTATTACACTTCAAACAAAATATACCAGCATGCTCTATACAGTCCAATTCTTTTCTGTGAAAGGCATCAAATTAGACACTGCTGAACACAAACATGGAAGGTCATGCTAATAATTGGGCAGCAAAGTAGAGGATCAGTTTGATAGCACAAGTCAAATCAGCCTAGGTAGCTATGTAAGGACTTAGGAAAATATTTTAAGTAATAGTGTTCTTTTAACCCCTTAAGGACCAAACTTCTGGAATAAAAGGGAATCATGACATGTCACACGTCATGTGTCCTTAAGGGGTTAAAGGGTTACTTCAACCACCATGACCATTTTAGTGATTTGAAGTGGTCCTGGTGGTAGGAGTCAGTATGTGCAGGGTTTCAGTTTAAAACACTGTACATATTGAGTTATTGGCAACTGTGTGTCAGGGGCAAGTTGCATCCCCAGCACATATTACCTAGGCAGTCCAGAATTACCTAGATAGATCTCCACACTCACCTGCTTCCACCTCTCCCCCCCTCCCCCATTTTAAAATAAGAAATTGTATTTTATTTGTAAATAAATAAATTTATACCACTGATCCAGATTCTAATACTTGGTTCGTTTCTGGTGCACTGAGGATGTAAAATCAGGCCCTGGCTCCTTAGTGGGTTCGGTGGAAGATTTTCTGAGGCGCTCTTGCTTGCTGCATGTTTGTGAGTGCAATCTACTTAATGTACACACTTATACACTGTCACGCTATGCTTTATGAGCTGGCTCTCCCAATCCGGCACCCTTCTCTCTGCTTTGTCTCGTCTGTGTAGCTCAGTGTTTATCTGCTCTCGCTGTCTCCCAGCGTTGCCTTTATCAGAAGGTTCCAGTCCCACTATTAAAAGGTCAGAGAGCCGGCCCCTCAAGACACATTGCTGTCGGATGGCCCCCTGGCAGTAGTTCCACCACTGGTCTTAAACATAATTATAAAAATCTATCTTATGAGGTCTATTGAGATGGAGTGTGTGCATGCCAGGAGTACAAATTTTTGTCACCTTAAATCTGAAATCCGTTACATCTGTGACGCCATCATAGTAGAAATTGTCTCCAACAGTAAGAATGAAATCCGCACCCCATTTGGCCACAATTTTACCCATCTCATCTGCAACCAGTGTTTCCTGCTTGGTGTAGTAGGGCGGCAAGGGGATGCCTCCCCAATCACCAATTGTCACAAATCGAAGGGACGGGAGAGGGTCCATAGGGTAAGTGGATGTCCCCTCAAAGAAGGATGACAGGAGGGTAAACAGGATAATTGTATTCTTCATTGTGCGACCTGGAAGAGATAAAGGTTACATCAAAAAGAGACATTTGTAAGTTTGAACAAGAGCACTAAAATGTCCATCTGGGAAACACAGGGAGGTTTAATGTCTCAAACCAGGAATTGGGGAGAAAATACAAGTAAATTTCAAGTTTTTGAATGAAGTAAAAATGCAGGTAAAAAGAAAGTCGGAGTTGAAGATATTTTCAAATTCAACTATTATATTTTATAATTTTCCATTTACATCAATAAGATTTCCCACCAGACAAATTAAAAAATTAATATATAGTCTTCCATGCACAAAATGCTGGACAATTTGCATGTGAATTAGTGTGGTTGAACACAGATTATATGATTCTGCTCCCCTAAACCCCTTGACGCACTGTCACAATACTAGATAACAGCATGGTGGTGACAAATTTGTAGCACCTTGTGACACAACATGGTTTCCTACAAGGCAAAAACATTTAGGGTATTGTGTGCATGTTTGTCACCCTCTAACTACAAAAATTAAACGGTTCAAAGATTCTTTGAAGGTAGTTCTTTATATTGTAAAACCATTTTCATGCACTTTGGGCTGAGGGGGAAGGAGGGTAGGGGGAGACTTAAATAGCAAAAAACAGGGTTTTCCTACTCCTGACACTTCTTGGCACTGGATGGACAAGCACCGTCAAGAAGTGTCAATCCCCTAGCCATCACCAGTGGGATCATCCTTAAACCTCAATGCTTTACTCTTGAGTATGTGCGAGAGTACAGCAGTGATGTCGGCTCCTGACGCTGCAGAAGGGACCACCCAGAAGAGGCTAGCGCCGTGTACTAGAGACTACTTCGGGTATTTTAAACTCAACTTTGCCTGCCCCTTGGGCCACCAGACGCCCTGCTGGAATGTCACCGTCGGGGGTCTTTGCAAATTATTCAAAGTCCATAGACAGGGCCAGACGCACTCTAAAGGATTACTCAAATTACCATGACAGCCCACTGTAGTCGTTATGATCCCAGGAGTACCCTGGCACTGTTCCTTGGTAAGGGGGGGCAAACCATTTTACAGTGGTTCGGAGTGCAATTGGCTGACAC